AAATAGCAAGCTAAGTCCAAATAAATAAGGGAGGCCCACACATTCAAGGTGCTAACACTTGCGACACTTTGGAGTGAAAAAAAAAAAAAATATTGTAGAACCAATAATGATATATTTAATAGCCAAATATGCAATAAGATGCAAGTATCTCAGTGGGTGTATTCTCTATAGCACCCAAAACTTGTCAATAGGAAGTTGAATTTATATACACTATTATTAGAACCATAATTAGGCACATAAAGCATCCCCATAATTTTCTAAAAGAATTGCTAAAAAATAAAGAGAGGCCGTAGTGGATAAATCTTCAAAGATAATTATTCTAATTTATTGTAGAAAAAATATAAAATGCAAGGAGGATGTCAGACTTTCTAGCATGTATAAACACACAGTGGATTACCCAAATCAAATATAAGAAATCAAAATAATTGGTTCCTAAGCCAATTTTGGAACGCTTTATGGACCAAAATAGATACTAGAATGAAAAGTACTGTTTTTCATCCATAAACTGACTGATGACAAAATGAAGATGCTGAAAAAAACTACGATGCATCTATTATGATGGCACAACAACAACAAGCATCCCAAAACTTGAGATAGTAACATGTCGCTTCTAGGATTCAACCTCAATAAAGCCATTAACTTCACAATAAAGACCCCACTTAAAGTTTGTCAGGGGTATTGTCCACAAAGCCTCTTTGATCTTTATTTCTCCATTTCCCAAGCTATTGATCATGTGGCTAAAATTTACATAGAAAAAGCTCAAATAATTTTGAAGGGCATCCATAAAATTCATATTTTGGTGAAGAAACTAACAAAAATAGGAGAAAATTGGTCTAGTATTTCATTATGATATTTGTGTAATATGCACACAATACTAAGATAGCTTCTAACAGAAAATATCTAAAAAAAGGAAATAATAACTACAAAATAATTATAGTAATCTAAGAATTAATGATTTGACAAAATAATTATCACAGAATAATTGTAATAGTCCACAAATTAATAAGTTATCAATAGGGATCCCACAAATAAAGAGGTGAAAACAAAAGAGGAAGCAAAGAGGGTGAAAGACTTAGGGAGTGTGGGTCCTAGCTAGCATATATATTATACAAACTGTTGACATTCCCCCTCAAGCGAATGAATGGAAGCCATCTATTCCAAGTTTGCCTAATAATTTATGAAAGACTACCCCTAATAATTCTTTGGTGAGAATGCTAGCAACTTGTTCACTTGTGGTTATGAATAGAATATATATTAAACAACTTTCAAGCTTCTCCTTTATAAAGTATCTATCATCTTCAATATGCTTTTAACAATCATGTTGCACAGGATTATATTCAATATTGATGGCTTATTTATTATCATAAAAGAGCCTCATAGGATCTTCTCCTTCAACTTTTAATCTTTCACTATAATTTTTAGCCTTAGATGATTTGGTCACATAAAACGGCGGCCTTCCGATGCCCAATTAGGAAAGTAGAAGTATTAGATTTGGCTTATGTTAAGAAAGGTAGAGGTAGAGTGGTAGACCTAAAAAGACTTGGTTAGAAAATATTAGAAATGCATTTCCTTTTTAGATTTAAATGAGAATTGGACTCTTAACAGGATACAATGGAGAAGAAGGATATGAAGCCGATCCCACGCAGTGTGATAAAGGCTTGATGTTGTTGTAGTATAATTTTTAGCCAAAGCATTTCACAAATTCCTAATCCCATAGATCTGAATAAGGCTTATGCGTTGGATCTTGCTATCATATTTAAATTTTTTTTACTTTCCCAACTCATGTGGTTTCCTCCTAAAAATGTGCAATATCCTGCAATTGATTTACCATCAACCATAGAAATCGTATAATCTACATCTATATATGCTACGAGAGTCAAATCCTCTCCCTTTTTAAATAAAATTATTTTGTATGAGTTTTTCTTCAAATATTATAAAATTATATACATTCTCTTAATATAAGATTCTTTAAAATTGAGCATGAATTGATTCATCACATTAACAACATAGACAATATCAGATATCATATATAATAGATAAGTCTCCTAATCAGCTTTTAATATGAGGTTTGTTTCTTTTGTTGTATCATTTGGAGCATCTTCAAGATTATGATTATTTCACAAGGCTCTCAACAAATTTGCATTATAACTTGTCCGCTTCTTTCAATAGGTTTGTTATGTACTTCTATTATCCTATGATGATTTCATGTTGAGAGTGTGCAACTTCAATACAGACGAAGTGCTTTAACTTCCCTAACTATTTGAGCAATTTTTTCTTTATTCTCTACATTCTTTTCAAGTCAAGGCTTATTATGATAATATTGTCAACATAAACTAGTAGTATGAACTATGAATACTCCCCCTGAAGCTATGTGCTTCACAAATAATGTATATTCTCCTTAACTTTATTCATATCTCATATTGATCATAACCTTAATAAACATTCTGAAACACACCCTTGGAGATTGCTTCAACCCAAGCGATGTCGTTTTTTGTTTTACAACTACAAAAGATCCAATAAAAATGCAAATAAAGGGATGATCTTCATCATTTTAAGGTTTCTTTGCAAGCAAAAGATCTTGTTTGGTTACATTTGAGCAAGGATTGCCTCAAAAGAGAAGGAAAGATGTTGAGGCCAATTACGTGGGCCATTTAAAATTCTTAGGAAAATTAGAGTCAACGTTTTCAACTACCGCCATACAAGGAGATTTTTTTAACAATAATTATGGAAAACTTAAAACCCTTTGAACCATCCATGCATGATGATGATTCAAAAGAGCTCCTACCGACCATGGATGATCTACTTTTGGAGTAGGAAATACCTTTAAAATTAGATATTCACAAAGAACGGAAGACAATATAACAACAACATCAAGCCTTTATCCCACTATGTGGGGTTGGCTACAAAGAGTGAAAAACAATAACGACTAAAAATTAGCCAAAGAAAGCATTCCGTACAGATAGGAAAGGTCAGTTACTAAGTTTTAAATGGTACACCATGGAAGATAGGCAGCCAATTTTCCATCATCACAACTTTTAATTTCATATAAGTGAAATCCTCCTAAATGGGGGACCCATGATATATAGGATAAAATTAGTAAGAAACCAATTAGATCATCTTCTATCATGATATAGGCATCAAATGGCAGAAAGATCGATCAGACCGTGCTTGTTGAAATTTTAATGATATTATTTCTTGATGAAAACTATCGAGAATAGTGTTTCTCATATCACACCAGCTATATCAAAAAGGGCATTGCCAAGAGTCTATATACACTATCAAGTCATCAATCGTACGCCATATCGGGGAGATCAAGCCACCGAAAGCTAGAATGTTGAATTAAATTTCATATTACAACAAAATAATAATGACTTTGAATTATTTAAATCTATTACACAAATGACTGCAATCTTGTGCACAAAAGTGGATCTAGAATGTAAATGATCTAAAAGAAACCAATCACTTTGAATCAATCATAGGAAAAAGAAGCGAAGAGTATGACAAATAAGAGTCCAAGAAATGTAGAATTAACTGACAAGAAAGCCTAATATTTAAGTAAGATCACCTCTCCCAAAATGCTTCATGCCTTACAATTGATAAAAAAATATCCAATAGAAGGTTAAGCTACCCCATAATAGGCATTGTAAGTAAGCATGGTTAAAAATCCAAAGTGATTGCAACAAGGTTTTAGTAAATCCTCAGAAAAATCCTTTGAAGCAAATAGAATCAAAAGAACAAGAGAATCATGAAACCTCATTGTACCTAAGAAGGCACGTGAATAGGCCAAACTCTAGAATTCCATTGTAACAATAACAAGAAAATGAGAACATATTCATTCCCCATGAATACACTACAGTCACAGGAAGCAACAAGACTAGGGTCCCAAAGACGCACCATAAGAACAAGATTCACCTTAAGTAGGAGGAGAATCCAAGATCCAAATACAATAACATAAATTAGGTTCATTATAGGTATGTAAACAAACTCTCAGCTAAGTGATTACAACTACAACAATAACAACATTAAGTCTTTATCCCACTACGTGGGATCGACTACATGAATCTTTTTTTTTTTCCATTATGCCCTGTTAAAAATCAAATTCTCATTTAAATCTAATAATGAAAAGTCATTTCTAATATTTTATAACCAAGTCTTTTCAGGTCTACATCTACCTTTCTTAACATAAAATCAAATCTAATACATCTACTCTCCTAACCAGGTCAACGGAAGGCTGCCATTTTATGTGACCAAACCATGTAAGGAAACTCTCTCTAATCTTATTTTCCATTAAAGCTACTCCAACATTTTCAAGTATATGCTCGTTTCGTATCCTATCTCTAAGAGTAAAACCACTCATTCACCTGAACATCCTTAGGGACAAGACTTCTATTGGCGAAGTCCTTAGGGACAAGATTTTTCCTCATAGGAAGCTTTTTATTCGCTCCCATTTTCACCCATATTCCGAGGATACAAATTACAGTTAGCTGACTGACATTTTGGGTCAAGATTGAATTAAAATTATCATATTAAGAAATGAAAACAGTCATTCTGTGATTCAAAAGGCTACATATATCAAAACTCGCTTATTAATCGATTAAAATGTTCAGGTATCCTTCTTCATCAACAGCGAGTGCTCTTAAAAACGAAACATCACATAATGGAGAAAGTTGGATATAAAAGGTACTTAGCAGGCAGAAAAAAAAAATCTGTGAAATTTTGATACGAGGAAACAGGCATGATTTTAGAATTATATCAATGAGAGCACAAAAATTTAGCTAAAACATTATTTTGTCATCTGATTCGAAGTATGTCCCGAAACAGGCCCACATTTCAAATCTTTAACAAAACCCTAGCAGGACAACCATATCCACGGAAGCGAACGAAGAGTTTTTTTACTAAAAAAAACACAGCATTGGACAAAAAGAAGTAGCAAGAGAAATCTTGTACCATTGGCACCACAAAAGCAATGGATGATGGTGAATAGGGGAAAAAAACACTACCCGATCTTCGAGCTCAGATTCCTCCATGGCGAGGAGCAGCTCATCATTGTGAGAGGATGCGAGCAACGGAAGCAGTGTAGATGAGGAGATGAGAGGCGGCGACGGGAACTGCCGCATGAACGCTGGGAACTGGAGCATTTTTGCCGATGACCGAATGATACGGGAATCCCACCACCGGTAAATTTTGTATTTCCTGATTGGGGAATCTACACGATGATCTCAGTATATATAATTTTATAGTTATTTATATAATATTTAACATTTAAATTATATTTAAAATCTGTTTTAAATCTTAAGGCAACTCCAATGTAACGGCAAACACTTGTTTGCCATTTTTTCTTTGCTCCAACTGACCGTCATTTTTGACTCCATTTGATCGCGGATAAATAGTGCGACGCCAATATTGACGTGGCACTGTTCATCCGCAACATTTTTTTATCTCTACCGAATTTTCGGAAGAAATGCGCGAAAGAAGAGAACGATGATTACGGGCAAAATGGCGTTCCATCGGAGATGAATCACGTCATTTTTTGGTTTCACTGCATTTTGGAGTGAAAAATGATATTTTCGATTGGAGGTGCCCTTAGAGCCATACAACTACAAACCCTTCAAAAGTAAGAATTTCAATTTCATTATATTGTTTTAATTACAATTACAAGATAATATTATTTAAATATTAAAACTTATAATAAAAGAGCACAAAATAACATATTTTGCTCTAAATTCAATTAACCAAGAACATATGAGAATTAAATCATTATGAATCAATGACATAACTTTATATGATGAATAATTAATAATTTGAAAATTCATAAAATAATAGGGTTGAGCTTGTAATAAATAATTTTAATAAGTAAACCCCACTGAAAACTATAAAGGATGGGCATGAGATATAAATATGAGCAATGAAAGACTAGAAGTTTATTAAAAAAAAAAAGAGTATATTAAATAATTAAATTTATAGATAATGTATAAAAGATAATATTCTTCATAATCATTTAATGGCGCTTATTATGTAAATTGATTATCATTGTATTTAATGCATAAACACTCACATGCATAATACATAATGTATTTATACATCCATACATGACTTACATGCCATCATCATAATATTGTTTATATATGTTAATTTCTTATCCAAAGTCACACCTACTATGATACCCTATATCATAAATGTGGTCATCTAACCTATTGAAATCTAATGATCTCTCAAAGTAATTGTCACTTGGTGGACCTGTCGGTTCGACAATCTAATATTAGATTGTTAGAGAGGATATTATCAACAATACATACATCATGTAGATACATATGCATTATCTAAATTTATATTATATTAAAATTTCTATAGTGAAGATTTCATCATTAATATGATTAAAATATGTTACATATTCAAAAATAGTTCATGATTTGTATATAGAATAGGTATTTCTCAAAATCAAAATGATTTACATAATTTTCTTAGGGATTTGTTCAACAAGTATAATGGCATGGCTAACTATCGCATCATTTTAATGTGATCATGTCAAATACTATAAATAAATAACGCATAATCTAATACATTTTATGTAACATCTCAGGACCTAATGAAAAATTTAAAATAAAGAATCAAACTCATAGTAAATCGATTATGAAAACAATCCATATATACTATAATTATCTATATAGATTAGCCTTTACTCATAAATTTTAAAATTTTAATTTAAAATGAATTTAATAATTGATATATCTATCTTGCACAATTTTAATTTGTCAACCATACCCTCTCTCACCACTAATCAAAACAAAACATCAAAATCAAATCATACATGCTTATATATGTATATTAGGGTGTAAACCAACATGTTGATGTTTTGTTTTGATTAGTGGTGAGAGGGGGTTGAATCTTGTTGGTGTGGATGAGCGCATCGCTTTTGCAATGCTCCTTTGAGGTAAGCTTAGTTGATCTCAAAGGAGCTCGATCAAGGAAGCACGCCTTGGACATGTTTAACTGAGGAAGTCCCCTTAGCAGGTTTTGACCAAGGAGGTATTGTCTCATGAGAAAACTAACTCTAGTAAAGGAGACTCATGTAACGCCCCATAATCAAATTTGAAAGAATTATCTATTTTATCTTCTTAATTAATCAACCATCTTCTATAAATCGTCAAAATAAAAAATCTATATCAAGTGAAAACAACTAATAATTGCATATCAGAATATTCCACTATATTTCTTCTCTCAAAATTAATATACTATAGCCACGAGATAAGTATAATTAAAACTCTATCACAAACTCCTAACTACAAAATAATAAGGAAAAATATAAACACAAAAATATGAGGATCTCTGTCAATCTCACTCCAATTGGCCTTGACCTGTTCCCTAACCTGAATTCATAAAAATCCACATATTGAGCATAAAAGTCCAGCAAGTAAGCAAAAATCTATCATTACTTTCAATACAAGATAAAAGAATCAATATTTATATTCAATTCTAGTCAATATCAATCATAACTTAATATGAGGAATAAAATATAAAAAATTAATAATAAAAATAATATGACCAGTAAAGTCATAAGAGATTTATCAACTATCAAGTTTTAAGAAAAAAATGTAAAGTGGATTATCACTCAATAAGTTATATTAATATGCTTTGTTATGTTGTATCAATATTAATGCTAATATGAGTTCAGTTATATATGTTAATCAGTTTAATGTGTTATCAAGTAAATATCATCATAAATATAATTATGAAAAGCATATCCAGCTTTAATGTGATATTTTCATCATTCCATATATTATATCATAGCTATCCAGTTGTTAATTGTATTTTTTATATATATTTATAATTTATTTTCACAGGTGACTTTTAATAATCAGTTAAGACTCGTTACCCTCTAACCGTCGGCGCAATTCCAACTAGAATTACACCACCAATCTTTTATTTAAAGGAAAACTCATTGACCCACCCTCATACGTAGGGTATTATATTTTAAGAGTAAACTTGTATTAATTATAGTGTTACCATCCAGCCTTCATTGCTTACATATAAATGCTATATTTTTTATGCAATGTAGATCAATATCATATATCAAATGCAATAATTATAAAATGCAGGGAAATCTATCAAATTTATTTATTATGCTTTTACTTCTAAAATCATAACTTTTATTTTAACTGGTGAAAACTTAATATGTTCCAGTCAAAATGCTCATATTAACAACATCTATTACATATCAAAATTTATGTGGTGAAAGTTTTACCAATACAAAATTATTCTCATTTTTTATAATGCAAATAAAAATTATATTGAAAACAAAAACCAAAAACATCAAAATATTAATATAATGATATATTTTAATTAATTTTTAATATAAAATTCATATATTTTTTTGGGATTTTAAAAATTATAAAAAATTATCCATAAAATAACCCATTTCATTTAAAAAAAAATATGGTGAAATCAATTTTTTAAATGGACACCTAACGGTTCAAAAATCCCCCCACTTGTATTCACAGGTGTCAATTTCTTAGTATTGACAATTTCTTGAGAAGCACTCACCCAAAGCACCTGCTATTGGGATTTGACAATTGCATTTAGAGCTACATCAGAAAATGATTGCCTATGTGTAGCCCCATAATCCTATCCATGTGTTTGTAATAATCAAATCATGTATTATTTACCACTTTTCTAAAATGTATCCTCTCCTACAACCTTTTGAACACTATAAATAAGAGGTTGAGAGTAGGGCTGTCAAAATCATGTTACGAGTCGGGTTTCGATTGAACTTGAAATTGAACAAGCACTATTTGACCTGACCTGAACTTGACACATTTTTGTCAACGGGTTAGTTTTTTGAACCCGAACTCAACCCGTTCATGCGTTTATTCTGTTATTCAGGCAGCAACAGCTCGGGAAGTCGGCAAGGGCAGGGGGACGAATGGCGCTTACGGCAACTCGGGACGCTGACAAGTACAACGGGACTTGTCATCATTATTACTTCTTATCCTCTTGTCACCGAAGCCAAATGCAGGATGGTTGCAGTAGCGACAATGGCATCAACATGCCAGTAGTGGCAGCGGTAGCGGGACGAACGACGGATGAACGCGATATATGAACTGACAGATGTGGCCCGGGTTAGACAGACACGACAAAGACTGTTCCCGGGTCAAAATCAGATTATTTCTGGGTTTCCAGGTCAACCCGAACCCTATCCGAATTTACAAATAGGTCGAAATCTCTAAACTGAAACCGACCCAGTTCGGATTCGGGTTAACCTGAACCCGAAATTTTTGTGTCGGGTTCGTATCTGATTTTCGGGTCATGTCAAATATTGACACCCTTAGTTGAGAGTCATTTTTAAATCTTTTATGCTATTTTGATCATTCACATATAATAAATTCCAGAGATCTTCTCTATGCCCATTTACTCTCCTCTTGTTGCCCTCCACTCCTAAATAGAGTAGCAATCAATGTCAAGATGTCAATTATGAATAAATCTAAATCCAACACTTTGGAACTACTAAAAAAGCTGAACTCAAAATTAAAATGTAGAAGCCTTATCATAAGAAACGACCAATTAATACTAAATAATTAAGAGCCTCTTGTTGGCCATAATGCCATGTAAGTGTTATATATATCTATATTACATACTTCATTTATTTTTGCCTTACTATATATTTTTAATAGTATTTTTTAAATAGGTTTTTTGCTTCTTTACCCAAAATTTTTTTAGAAATTTTCTCTCTTCTATTTGCCCCTCTTTAAATAAATTATTAGAAATAAAACTCTTACATCACTCACAAAAAAAATTGTATCCACCACAAACCTATCAATGGTTTACCTGTGAATCACTCTCAAATGAGCTAATTATTTTATTTTTGGAATCTTTTGGCACACATTAGCTTCACTTAATTACAAACCCAAACTACATAGAGATTCTTATAGAGAGATGAAGAATCCACCACATTGAAATAATTTTTTTGCAAATTATTGTTATTTTCATAACCTCCATATAATTTTATTAAAAAGACTTCGATCTTTTAGCATTAGGGTTCTAAAAATATTGGTCATGATTATAAACATCAGCGAAATCATTTAAACAAAATCAGGCCTCATGATTTTTTTCATTAATGAGTTTTTCACGTAAAAACTCCGGTGTCTCATGAGATCATCTTTTATCTATCTGTGATTTAGATCTTCTCACAAATACTAAGATATTAAACCATCTCTCTGTACTATTACGAATATTTTAGCACCCAACGAGAATATAATCATAATTTCATCTTATAATAAAAAAAATAAATTAAATTGTCATATTTCATTGTATAAAATAATTATTTATAAATGTTATAGAAGAATATTTTTTTTCTTTCATTAAATATTCTTTGATTTAATTATATTTTGTGTCAATCTTTTCGCATAAATCGCTCATTTCATTGGACTTGGACTAAGGATATGTCCAATGACTTATTTTTTATAATGTCTATGTCCAAATATGAACAGGAAGAAATCTGTAAGACTTGCAAACTTATGATGCTAAAGATGCCTTTGTCTTTTATGCGCAGGCGATGAATTCAAAGCTGCATCGGGCTTCCAATAACAATAAAAATTAGCAAATAGAAAGCAATCCAATAGATCTATGCATCAAAACATTCATCTTCGAGATTCCTCCCATCTCACCCGGGCTTGATTCCCCTAATTGTCCAAAAAAAAAAAAAAAAAAAAAAAAAAAAAAAAATCATCTTCCTAATAATTTATCCCTAACCTGACACTTGGCATACTCATTGGGAACCTTATCATTCCTATAAATAAAAAAACATTTTACCAACCCTTAATCACAACTAGCAAACCATGTTGCAACTTCCTAATCTCCTTCTCTCCTTCCTCATCTTCTTCTCCTTTCTTCTCCTCCATCTACTCAGAACCCCAAAGCCAAATCTCCCACCAGGCCCATGGAAACTCCCCTTCATAGGCAGCCTCCACCACATCTCTATCAATGCCCTCACACACCACTCTTTTCTCTCCCTGGCACGCAAATACGGCCCTTTATTTCATCTAAAACTAGGCCAGATCTATTTCATTGTCGCCTCATCCTCCTCCACTGCCTCTGAAATACTCAAAACACACGATCAAATCTTCGCATCTCGACCCACCATGTTAGCCGTCAAAACCATTGCCTACAACTCCATTGGTATTGGCTTCTCCCCTTACGGCCCTTACTGGAGACAAATGCGTAAGATATGCACTCAAGAGCTTCTGAGCTCAAAAAAGGTGAAGTTTTTTGGATTTATAAGAGATGAGGAGTCTTTGAAGATCGTGGAAAGGATTGGTAGGGGGAGTGGATCGACCACATTAAAGGTGAATATGACAGAAATATTTATGGACGTATTGAATGTGAATATAATGAGGGCGGCATTTGGAAAGGATTGGGAGAGTAACAGAGAGAGATTTTTGAAGGCGTTAAAGGAGACAATGATGTTGTTGCCTTTGTTGAGGTTGGCGGATTTGTTTCCTTCGTTGGGGTTTGTGATAAGTGTGTTGGATGGGTCGAGGGTGAGGATGAAGAATGTAAGGAGAGAGATCGATGTGATTTTGGATGAGATAATTGCAGAGCATGTGATCAAGAGGGAAGCAGGGAAAGGGGATGGGGAGGAGGATTTTGTTGATATTTTATTGAGGGTGAAAGAGAAGGGCGAATTTCAAATCCCACTAGCCGTTGAGAACATCAAAGCTGTCATCTTGGTAAGAGTATAACATTTTAAATATATATATATATATATAAGCTTTTAGGGTTTACCATCCCTTCCAAAAGCTGGGTGGTGGTGAATGCATGGGCAATTGGAAGAGATCCAGACTATTGGGAGAATCCTGAGAGCTTCAATCCAGACAGATTCAAAGAATGTACAGTGGATTTCATAGGGGCAAATTATGATTACATTCCATTTGGTGCTGGGCGTAGAATATGTCCTGGGATGGGATTTGCTTTGGCTGGGATAGAGCATTTTCTTGCTCTTCTGCTCTTTCACTTTGACTGGGAGCTTCCAGATTCAAAGGTATTTGACGTTGATGAGGGATTGACTGGCTCAGCAAGGAGGAAAAATGATTTATATTTGCTTGCCAGGCCTTATTCTCCAATATCAGACGAGTGATTTTCATTTTTATCATTGTCATTATCTTTGTCTCTACTGTTTCTGTAAGTTTTATGAACGGATCTATCTTTGAATGGTCCTGTTTAGTTATAACATCAATATCATCTTTTTTCTGTCATAGTTGCCTATTATTCTCATTATTGAGAACTCTATGTAGTATCCAACCATATGAAGAAAACTTATAATTTTGACACATTGATACTGCCACGACTGTCGAGTCCTAACTGTAGCTCGGACTATCCAGAGGAGAACTCTTAATCATGATCAAATCTAAAATATTAGAGATGCTACCAATACATATATAGTTCTCCCCAAACATCCATAATCTATTTAGAAAAAAAGATTACATAACATTCAAATCATATATAAACCAACACAACCACTAATAATCCATTAGAGGAAAGCATACAGCTGATTTACACTTATTGAGATTTTACACTTAATAAACATTATTCAGCCTAAAGCATAAATTCATAGGATTATAAAATATTTGGTGAAAATAAAAAAATAATAATATAAAAATGTGAACAATGAGGAAACTAGAAAAATATCAAAAGTTATACCTAAAAGTTGTCAAAACATCAATATATCTTAATTTTTCCATGAAATTCATATGAAATATGAGAAATCAATCTAAAAATGAAACAATTGAAATCAAAGATATCAAAAACCTCCTTTGATCTATGAGCTAGCTTTTCAAAAATGTTTCTTGTGATCCTCTTCCTGAACTTGCTTCTTTCCAACCATGTTATACAAATGATAACATCAACCTGGCATGATGGGGACATGGACTGGAGGGCTTCTAAGTTGTATTTCAGATTGACCTTGCAAAGCAGATAATTAAAAAAAAAAAGAAAAAAACCGAAGAACCGATTAGAAGAAGCAAAAACAGGGAAGGAACATATGGTAAAAGGCAGAGCTTACATGAAAATGATCACTTAAAGGAATGCCGTGAAGTGTTATGGTTTCATTAATCACCCAACCATTACCATCTGCAGTAGGTGTTCTATGGTGAGTGCTGGTTACTTCACCTCCAAAAATTGATAAATATCGATTGAATTTATAATGGATATTAGGCTTCGTTTCCTTCCATTCTGTTGATGAATAATTAAGGCACCCAACATTCTCCATTATTTTCTTCTCTAGCTCACCTCCTTCAAACACCTCAATAAGCAACTCCATCTGCAATTTTTAATTTTAAAAAATGTTTAAGAAGTGAATAAGATCCTGCTTTCTCCCATGATATTAGAACTATCACTTTATTCTAAACAGATTTGGATAATTTTTGGTGTAAAACAGGCTCACAGCGATAAGAAGCTCTGCAGAGAAAGCATTTGAGAAATTAGTTGTGTCCTCATTGCTTGATAATGATTCACTATCATCATTCTTATTTGTCTTGCCATCTTGACCCAGTTGGTCTTCTTCTAACTTGGCTCTGTCTTCATAGGAGGTAGTTTTTGTTCTCCACAAAACTCTAATTGTCCTATTTACAACAAGTTATATGATCATTTTCACATAAGTTTATTTATTTCAGAAGATTAGGAAAACTAGGAAAAAATCATACTTGCTTGCGATGCTAAATGATGCAAATGTCTGGAACTGAAACTTTAATCTGCCTTCACCATCTTGACATTTTGCACCATGTCTAGCATCAAAGCCACGACCACTCCTCAAGATCATCAGCAGAGCCGGAGTGCCTATTGTAGCGAACGATGGTGGGATGACCTGAATATCTTCAATGTCCTCCCAGAGAAAAAAGAACTTGGTTTTATGACCAAAGAAGTTTGAGTAGAATCCTACAATTCTGGCTGATATGAAAATTCGACCCTGCAATAGTTATTTAATCATATCTGACATTTTCTTCCTCATAAATAAAAGGATTCGAACAAAACCATACCTGCAGTGGAAGCTTTCTCTTCAAATAACATGAAAAATCTTTAATCAGAAACTCTTCTTGTGTTAGGGAAAAGATTTTCTTGAATGTCAAGTTCTTCTGAGGTGCCTTAGGATTTAACTGGCAGCCATGCAGAACAATCAGTAAAGAATGTGGTGGCTTAAAGTAATCTGTACATGTCTTATCTTCTTTCCTACTTTCTTCTCCATCCTTGTTATGTATTCCTTAATAGTTTCTTCTCCCTTGGTATTGTCCAAGAAAATCTTTAAATCCAGTTTTCTCTGAGAGACTTGAGGCAGTACAGATTGACATCAGAAATGCTCTCATCATGAGGAATTTCGCACGCAATCCCTGGCGAATTGCATGTCTTAGATACAGACGTGGATGTGGTAGCTTCTTCTTTGTCATGCATAAACCTCTGTTCTTCATGGTCTGGAGGAGTTTCTTCAAACTCTGTTTGTCCGGCTAAAGATTTTAATTTCTCCATGTTTATAACGGGTGAATGAGCTGTGGCTTTGTTGGTTGATCGCCACAATTATCAATGCAGAATTTTGTATGAGTTCGACTGGGAATACTTTTATAATTTATTCCGTACAACAATGAAGTCAGATGATCGAATACTCCCTGAAAATTTCATTTTATATGATAACAGAAAAGTAATTAAAAACAAATAAATTTACATCTTCATTAGCTGTCACAGTAAGCTCAAATTAAAAAAAAAAAAAAAACATTACGCTCAAACTGCTCGATCTCATCGCAGCAAGGATTCATTCATATTTACTGCTCAAAATAGATCCTCTCATCATATGAAAAACTAAATATATAGCCTCTATGATTTCCTCTAATTTTTAAATAAACTTAGATGGAAAAAATATAAATAAAAAGCAAAAAGTATAATTTTTTTTTTTTTTTTTGTCAATGCTAACTTTCTGCCAACTAATTGATGCTAATATTAATAAAAAAAAAATTAGACAAGCTGATACACCAATTCCTCTTCATTCAGCTTTCAAGTATAATCAAGAAAAAACCAGTTCTTTCAGGAAACTAACAAAAAGAGCATGGAGAAAACAACAACAACAACATCAAGCCTTTATCCCACTACGTGGGGTCGGCTACATGAATCCTTTTTCTCCATTGTGTTCTATTAAAAGTCAAATTCTCATTTAAACCTAATAAAGAAAGGTCATTCCTAATATTTTCTAACCAAGAGAAAACGAGAAGGAAAAATATTGTGCATATCAAATTGCAGGCTAAGTCCAAATAAATAAGGGAGGCCCACACATTCAAGGTGCTAACACTAGGGACACTTTGGAGTGAAAAAAAAATTGTAGAACTTATAATGATATATTTACTAGCCAAATATGAAATAAGATGCAAGCATCTCAGAGGGTGTATTCTCTATAGCACCCAAAACTTGTCAATAGGAAGTTGAATTTATATGCACTGTTATTAGAACCATAATTATGCACAGAAAGCATCCCCATAAATTTCTAAAAGAATTGCTAAAAAAATAAAGAGAGGCCGTGCTATCTCTATGTCGTTGTGGATAAATCTTCAAAGATAATTATTCTAATTTATTGTAGAAAAAAATATAAAATGCAAGGAGGATTCCAGACTTTCTAGCATGTATAGACACACATTGGATTACCAAAATCAAATATAACAAATCAAAATAATTGGTTCCTAAGCCAATTTTGGAACTCTTTATGGACCAAAATAGATGCTGGAATGAAGAGTACTGTTTTTCATCCACAAACTGATGACAAAATAAAGATTCTGAACAAAACCACGATGCATCTATTATGATAGTACAACAACAAGCATCCCAAAACTTGGGATATTAACATGTGACTTCTAGGATTCAACCTCAATAAAGCCATGCACTTCACAATAAAGACGCCACTTAAAGTTTGTCTGGGATATTGTCCACAAAGCCTCTTTGATCTTTATTTCTCCATTTCCCTGGCTATTGATTGTGTGACTAAAATTTACATAGAAAAATCTCAAATAATTTTGAAGGGAATCCATAAAATTCATATTTTGGTGAAGAAACTAACAAAATTTGGAGATAATTGGTCTAGTATTTCATTATGATATTTGTGTAGCATGCACACAATACTAAGATAGCTTCTACCATAAAATATCTAAAAATAGGAAATAATAACTACAAAATAATTATAATAATCTACGAATTAATGATTTGGCAAAATAATTATCACTGAATAATTGTAATAGTCCACGAATTAATAAGTTGTCAATAGGGATCCCATAGATAAAGAGGTGACAACAAAAGAGGAAGCAAAGAGGGTGAAAAACTTGGTGAGTGTGGGTCCTAGCTAGCATAAATTATATAAACTGTTCACATTCTCCCTCAAGCGAATGAATGGAAGTCATCTATTCCAAGTTTTCCTAATAATTTATGAAAGACTACCCCTACTAATTCTTTGGTGAGAATGCTAGCAACTTGTTCACTTGTGGTTGTGAATAGAATATATATTAAACAACGGTCAAGCTTCTCCTTTATAAAGTATTTATCATCTTCAATATACTTTTAAAGACTACCCTAATAATTGTTTGGTGAGAATGCTAGCAACTTGTTCACTTGTAGTTGTGAATAGAATATATATTAAACAAGTGTCAAGCTTCTCCTTTATAAAGTATTTATCATCTTCAATATGCTTTTAACGATCACGTTGCACAGGATTATATTCAATATTGATGGCTTATTTATTATCATAAAAGAGCCTCATAGGATCTTCTCCTTCAACTTTTGATCTTTCACTATAATTTTTAGCCTTAGATGGTTCGGCCACATGAAATGGCAAACTTCCGATGACCCGATTAGGAAAGTAGAAATATTAGATTTTGCTTATATTAAGAAACATAGATGTAGACCTAAAAAGACTTGGTTAGAAAATATTAGAAATGACATTTCCTTTTTAGATTTAAATGAGAATTTGACTCTTAAAAGGACACAATGGAGAAGAAGGATTCATGTAGCTGACCCCATGTAGTGTGTAAAGGCATGATGTTGTTGTTGTTGTAATATAATTTTTAGCCAAAGCATTTCACAAATTCCTAATCCCATAGATTTTATTAAGGCTTATGTGCTAGATCTTGATATCATATTTTATTTTTTTACTTCTCCAATTCATGTGGTTCCTCATAAAAATGTGCAGTATCCTGCAATTGATTTACTATAAACCATAGAAATCGTATAATCTACATCTATATATGCTACGAGAGTCAAATCCTCTCCCTTTTAAATAAAATTATTTTGTATGAGTTTTTCTTCAAATATTATAAAATTCTATACATTCTCTTAAAATATGATTCTTTAAAATTATGCATGAATTGATTCATCACATCAACAACATAGACAATATCAGATATCGTATATAACATATAGATAAGTCTTTCAATCAGCTTTTAATATGATATTTTTTTCCTTCTGTTGTATCATTTGGAGCATCTTCAAGATTATGATTATTTCATAAGGCTCGCAACAAATTTGCATTTAACTTTTATGTTTCTTTCAATAGGTTTGTGTGGGCTCCGAAAATTCGGCCCCGGCCTCCGCCCACGTGTCCTTTTCTTTTTCAGGAGAGTTTCAACAATTAAGTTCCGGGATAAATTTTGGGAAGACATATGGGTTTGTAGATAAGACACTACCCAGAGATTTCGCCCTCATTTTGCGAGGACTTTATGATCCGAGTTTTGGTTTCCTATAGGCGCAAGCCCCTATAGTTAATTACCCCTCCCAATCACGAGAGAGAACTTTTGATTAAGGCTAGTCGTCGATCAGATACGTAGGAAATACATGCATCTGGCATATAGTAGTAGCATGGGCTTAGATATTGAAAGTTTGGAAAGTTTGATATTTAAAATAGAAAATTTTGCCATCTTGCACTTAAAGCGGATGGATAATGGGCCCGATCAAGATCCCATGGTTCCGTCATCCCGTGTCATCGTGGTCCTTGTTCTACTTAGTCAGAGGAGATAGTCTACCCAACCTGACAGAAGGATCCTTGTCGGCAGCCATGGGTTGCTTCGTCCAAGGGGACCTTGTAGATCTGGGGTGAGTGTTTGAATAAGGGGACAAATTTGAATCCACCTTAGCTAACAGAGGGCTTTGTGCCATATCGATTATATCATATTTATTCATTTCTAAAGGATTTGATGTCACTAAGGAGCATATTGGCTCTGGCCATAACCGGTATTTCGTGGTGCCATTTGGCAGTAAAACTACTCGGTTCAGAGGGCCCGGGGTCGTAACCGTTTATCCTGCGGTGCCATTTGGAGGCAAAACCGCCGGTTCGAGGACACGTACCACATCCTTAATGGTAGAAGATTATTTTGAGAATGAATCTTAGTGATATTCTCAACTAGTCATTAGCTTTATGTGAGCTGAAGTAAATTTCAATTTGTCTATCCAGGCAAACTGTTGCGGATTGTGGATGAATTTTGATTTAAATGTTTAATACTATAATTTAAATTTTTAAATATCTTTGGATTTTGGAATTTTGAGATGTTTGGATTTTCGGGCATTTGGATGTCATTTTGAAGATATTTGAAATTAACCCCTCCGGTTGAGATTTTCTGTTCAACACGGACATCATAGGAGTGTTTGGGGTCATTTCCATTGATTAAACCTTGTCGATTCAATCAACTTGCTGATAGGGGATCAGGTTTTGTAGGTTTCGAACCTTTGTTAGTGTGTCTTCTTTATTGAAGGCTTTGAAGGCCTAATATAAACGTATAAAATAAATATCTAGACCGTCCTTGCAGCTGCATATTTATTTAATGGTTGAATTGTGTCGACTCCTATCTACCCGTATAGAAGGATCGGGTTCGAATTTAGACTTAATATTTGTCCCGCACAACATCCCTAGGCGTCACGAGTGTATAACACGCTCGTCGAGGCACATGCTGGTGTTTGAGGGTATTTTATAATTATTTGTTAAACCTTGTCAACTCCTATTTTCATGCTTAGGAAGATCGGGTTCAAATTTATTGACCCGCGCAGCATCCGTAGACTCCACATGTGTTCCTACAACATGCTCGCAGGGGCCCATGCGAGTTTTATGATTGCATACCCTCCTTTTGTGTACCTATGTGTATACAAATTACGGTGCATGTACGGGGTTGTTTTGAAATATTTATAAAATGCCTTCTGTCCACTTGCATGGATGTTGTGGATCTGGTGGTATGGCATTGTACTGCAGTTATTTGCCCCTTTGCATACAGTCATACAGGTAGAATGTCGTGCACTACTTACATGATTTATGCAGGTATATTGTAGTGCACTAACAAATCTCCTGCTTGTTCATTTGAATACCAAATCCCTCCATTTGTATGGGACAAATGTATTTGTTTACATGTATTTCAGTATTTGTGAAAACTATTATATATATTTGTGAGATAGATGCCCATTAACTGTTGATAGTAGGCGGACTACTTTCCTTGTGACTTTTCCACTTTGCTTGTGGATATGTTGCATTCATTGTGTATTGCTTCCCCCATCAGTTGCAAGCGGGTTGATGGATTTGTTTGTGAATCCCTTAATATTAGCTACAAACCAACCCTCATTTGAATCTTCTTATCACTTGCAAACAAATTGATCG